TGATCTTATTACAGCACGAAACACTGCAAAAATGCATGATCGCACGGGCCCGCCCAGTGCGCGTCGTCAGTGATTTAAAGAATATTATCCCCGTATTGAAGGGTAGGTGCGATCCACCTGTATTTTACTTACGACTCACGCATTTCACATATATTGCTCACTGCGGATTACGATTCGCTCTCACAAAAATGCTATTTTTAATAAATATTATCCCCCTGTCGAATAATGGCGACAAAATATTTGGAAATTTGTGCATATTAAACAAAAAAAGAGTACAATGGAGAAAAAAAGAACAAACCGGGTAGCGAATGCAAATGAGAAAAGCAACGCAGCAACGACGTGGCGTATGAATGGAAGTCCTGGATCGGCGTACAGCGTGAACATAGCACTTAGCGTGAACAGCATATAGATACCTTCCGAGTAAATCGCCGAAAAGAATATGCTAGCAGGATTTAGGCTGAATATAATACTGGCAATCAGCGCCACTTTTATCGATTTTGTCAGAAGTAGACACAAAGCATAGAGCAATTGACCACAGAGTAGAAAAACCACCTGTAAGTAAAAAACATCTGTTTTGTACTTTCATAGGGTAGCTGGCACAGGTAAATCACACACTGTATTCACATACGATAATCCACATGAACTTCATAAACTTCACGAAACAACAGCACGTCATCCAATTTCCCGCCGGACCGAAACATTCCTATTCAGGTTTTTTAATCCGATTTATCTTATTCTCCTTCCTTTTATTCCTTCCTTTTAACCCTTATTTTTTACATAAACACACATCACCTAAAATTAAAATTACGTATCGTATTATCCTGCGTTATAATTCCAGAAATTTTACTCATAAATGATATTTTCAATTTTGCACATTCTATTTATTTTCATGCATCAGCCGCCTCGCAAAAAATCGGATCGAAAACTGAGGCCCAAGCCCTAAGCAGATTGCAGCATCGAGGATGATCCTGGAAATGCAGATGACGAAGGTGCGAAGGAATTCAAGGGGAAAGAGACAGTGTAGGAGAGAAGGCAAGGGTGAGATAAGACGTTTCGGTTCATTAAGTCATATACGTCTTAACCGTAAAACTTGGCGCGAGGGGGGCCTGTCGTCAGGGATCAGCCACTTTCGTCCGTCGTCTGTCTCTCCCCACCTCTCCCACAAAAATTCGCGTCCAGACCAAACAACCCTTTCCCCGTTCTCCTCCTTCCCGCCTTCCTCTTAGGGTTTTCGCATCGTTGTTAAAACAGTACGCCAATAAAGAGGGGAGCCGGCAACGAGAGGTCTTGAAGAGATCTTCCCTTCACCCAAACTACGCATCCGGAAATTTTTAAAGTTAACTAATGCTGCATTAACTTGTGGCCAACCTGCTGGCGAACCGAACATTTGCTTCGTCTCCTGAAAGGATTACCAGCTCAGTGATTCTCCCAACAAAAGGACTTAACTTCAGCTACTTCAAGAAGTCCTTGCGTCCTAAACAACGAGACCTCGTTCCCCTCCTCTCCGCCCCTCCCCCCTTTTCCTTATAGGTTGCGATAAGAAGCGTTATTACTTGGATACGTTCCTAATCGGTGTAGCTGAAAAAAGCATGTGATATGAGATCAAAGAGTAAGAAAACTAACGAAATTAAGTGTGACAGCAGTTAGTATGAGAGCTGATGAAAAATGAATGAATGGCATTGTCCAGCTCCAAATAAGCGTCAAATAGTGAATCAAAGTTGGGAAGAGTGGAAAGAATGCGAGCGAATTTTCGAACGTATATCCGTAATGGGCGATATGCAGAAAATGTACAGCATCCCATCTCGCCAGGCCACCAAATGCAATCCGAATCCAATAATCAGGACGTGAAAGCTCTCCTGTAAAAGCAAGCATCATTCAATAAAATAGAAAAGTATTTTTGAAGTAGGAAGAAGAAGAGAAAATGATACTAAGAAATTAGAGAAAGTAATAAAATTATTCTAATAAAATTATTATAATAGACAAAAAATGTTTCGGGTCCATTAAGTCGTATACATTTCTTACCGTTACCAGAATGGACCTCGCAAGTACGACAACTGGAGTAATTGTAATTGATGTAAATTAAATTAAAATTAGTTAAACTTATTAAAACTAGCTATATGAAAACCAGTAAAAGTACATGTTAGTGGAAGTGAAAGTAAAAAGCATTATATGCAAAGTAAAGTAGCATCTTACCGAGAGTGGGCTTTTTACACATAAGTTACACATGAATTCACTTAGCAGATGTGAAAAAAAGTATTTTGAAAAAGTAACCTTTTGGGATTTGGATTCCTTGGAATGCATCGGTGGGGTAATCCGTAACCAGAGCATTCAAAATCAATTGTAAGACGAATAGTAAAATACGACTTATTACGCACTGTTTCAAAATAAAAATTGCATGTTCGGTATCCCATCGACATTCTCGCTT